ACTCAAAACATTTTTTAGGTCTCATGTGGAAGAAAATGTGAATCTAGCAGTTAAAGTAGAATTCAGGATTAAATTCCTGAGCCCCAGTAAGTTGCCGTCACTGTTCTTTGGAACTTTAGAACCTTTTATATTTCTGTGAAGTCTTATATTAATGTGTTTATATAATATCCCACTAGATGGCTGGCTCCTTAGGAAAGAATGACAGACTTAGGCTTTTTGTTCTTCACGTGCTGGGTAATTGTGTGCAGTCCTGGGATGGAACTGAAATCCAAGAAGTCCTCTACCTATTTGCTTGGTGTCACTGTTTTTATGCTCCCTGTGTGTAGTATCAGGGTACTGTGTCGAGTGTGCCAGCTCCTCTTTGTTGTGAAGAAGGAAGAGTGGTTTAGGCTTGGAGGACAGGTGAAGCAAAGCTGTAGGGCTTAAGCTGGACACTGGATATGTGGGAATGGTCACTGTCACTGGCCCAGCCACAGAGCTTCTGCTGAGGAGCAACAAGAAGAAGAGTCATACTGCACAGCTTTGCTGTTACCAGATCCTGAAGGGTACTGCAGTGGTAAATAACGCTGCTGAGGGAGTGAATGGCAGATAAGTCTGAATCTTGTCTGATAACTCTTGGTGATCAGTTTCTGGTATATTTAGGAGATTCTCTGTGAATGCCTTCAAATGAGAGGATGCACAGGAAGTGGACGAGGTGGCTTAGCTGTACCCTTGCTGGTTAAGATTTACGTTGATCGTAGTCTTTTGCAGTAACAACCAGTGCTGGAATGACTTTTTACCATAATTTTAAAGGCTTATGTATGAGCATAGTTGATTAAGGCAAAAAGCCTGTGGTAAATACATTCTTCATCTCTCATCACTCCTGAGGTCCATAGTTTGGGTCCAATTGACTTTAAAAAAAATTTTTTTTATTAATTTTTATTTTATGTGCATGTTTCTGCTGTGATACATACAGTATGTCTGTGTGTGCAGGGGTCAGATCCCATGAAACTGGAGTTGCAGAAAGCTGTGAGCCACCAGGCGGTGCTGGGAATTGAGCCTGAGTCCGCTGGAAGAACAGCCAGTGCTCTAAACTGCTGAGCCATCTCTCCAGACCTCAATTCACTTTTTACTTCTAGGTTTCTAAGTAACATTTATACCCCCATTTCTAAGTTGTCTTCTAGTTTAGATGCTATTTCCTTACTTACAGCTGAATTTTCTTATTCTCTCTTAACATTGTATTGTAGAAGGTGAAGAGTAGAACATTCAAAGTACAAAGTAATTTTCCATTATTAAGTCCACACTTCATTCTTCTGTCACATCTCTTACAACCTTTGAAAAGTCCTATGGGCCGGTTTCTTTTTACACAACATATATGACATTATAATTGTATTTCTCTTTCATTTTTTTGAAAATTTCATATAACTTCATTCTGGTGCCTTTACAGCAGCAAAACTGGTTTACTTTTAAAACTTTTTTTTTTTTTAATTTTGAGGACTTCCTATGTGTGTACACTGAACTATAAAATGTCAGATATGACCCAGTTCTTCCTGTCTTCTCCCAACGCCACCCTGCTCGCAGCACTGTCTTTTTAAATATTTTTCTTTGAACACACTCCGTCGCATTACTGCTGCCCTGTGCATATGGGTGTTGGGCCATCCGCTGGAGCATGGGAAACCTATCAGCGGCCACAACCTCAGGCGATCCTCTCTGCCTGGCCACCTCTCTATAGCTCCTTCTGAGGAAGGATCAAGGCATGAAGCCCACCTACCTCATTTCCGCTTTGTCTTGTCTTGATCTTGTGTAGGCTTAGTGTATGTTTCTTAAACCCTGAAAGCTTTTAAAAGCTTATCTAGATAATGCTGGTGTTTTGAAGTTTCATTATTTATAAATATCTACTATACTACTATACTACTATCTAAATATCTACTCTACCCAACAATTCCTGCAGCTTGAATAATTGAGTTAAAGTTGGGTGCATTTGAGATTTTGGTTAGTATCTCTTAGTTGTAAGATAAAATTCTTTCTTTCTGGGTATCTTCTTAACCAAGGGCTGGTGATTCTCTGAAGTCTGTCTTTGACACAGATGAACTCTGCCCCTACAGTGTCTGCCTTGCACCTTCCCTTGAAGTTGTCCTTGCCCTCTCTCTATTTGGCCATCACATTCCCCTCACTATTCCTTTCCCCAGAACCCACACAGAACTCACTCATGCTTCCCATGTCTTTTCTCATTCATTAACAACTACAAAAAATCCAGTCTAATCCACTAATTAGAATAGTTTTACTGAAAAAAAAAAAGAAAAAAAAAAAAAAAAACACACCAAAAACCAACGAACTGCATTTGCCCCTGTAGCTTTCCATAGATACTGTGCCACTGCTAATTAAATGATGTCATACCCCTGCTAGGGTGAAGGGCAGGAACTACAAAAATGGTTCAGAGTTGTTTTAGGATAACTTATATAAGGTAACTTAGGAAGGAAATATGAGTGTTAAAACAGAGTGCAGACATTGAATTTAGCAGTACCAGAGAAAGCCGGTAGGCTTTCGACTAACTGCTTGTGGAGACTAACTGACATGGAGAGTAGGAAGGAAAGCAGCCCAGGCAGAGCTGAAAACACCCCGTGGAGGTGCTGCAGGAAAATTAAGATTCAGCTGGGCGGGGTCAGCTGGGCGGGGTGACACACCTTTAATCACAGCATTGGGAGTGGGAGAGGGGGGTAAAGATAGGCAGATCTCTGAGTTGGAGACCAACCTGCTCTACAAAGCAAACCCTGTCTTGAGAAAACCAAAAGAGTAAAAAAGAAAATTGAGACTCTGTGGAAGGAGAGGCTTCAGGAAGATAAGGTCGGTGTAACTTTAGAGAGGTCAGGGAGGAGAAAGAGCCAGAGTCCTCAGAAGAGCTTGGTGAGGGGCAGGCCAGTGCTAAAAGGACACAGATGGGACTCAGTAGGGAACGCTTAGTTCAGTTTGGGGTGGGGGTAGGGCAAGTGCAGTGTTTTGTTTTTTTCTTCAGACTGGAGGAGAAGCTACCTGTTAATGCGTACATTTGAGTAAAGTGATTCAGATGATGAGACTCACAAACTTTAACACAGGAAAGCTATAGAGGCTTGGCAGCAGCCAGTCAGGAATGAAGAGCAGCAGAGGGAGGGCTTCTCAGAGTGGAACAGGTAGCAGGCAGTCTAGTCACGGGTTCGCACTGTTTGAGGTGCTTAGGAGCACAGGTAGGCTTGAATAACCCTGGAGCCACTGCTCAGCATCTTTCTTTCTTCTGTTTAGCTTCATCACTGTAGACATGCAAAGGTAAAGAAATAGTGATTTTTAAAGACAGCTCTTTCTCTTTTCCTCCCTCTCTTAATTTTGGATAGAGTGTAAGTTTTTTATACCAAGGTGGCCTGGAATCACTACACAGCACAAGCTGTCCTTAAACTTAGGTCCTCATGCTTCTGCTCCCTGGGTGTAGGGAGGCTAGGTGTGCCCTGCCACGTTAACCATCATTCTGTTTCTACTGTGGTATCCAGAGCGGGAACAGGCAAGGCAGGGAGCCCTGGGGAATATGTAACGTTATGAACTTGCATTCAGGAGTGTCTTTGGAGGTCGGTAGTAGTGGCCCTGAGCCATTAAACCTTGTGGTCTGGGTGACTACAGAGTCCCAGCAACCACAAGGATGGTCAGTAGTCACTCTAGATGGAGAGCGGTCGGGTTTGGCCAGGATGTTGCAACAGGAGATACACAAAAAGGGTGTAGGAAGTCCATGTTGTAGAGGACCAAGCAGAATTTAGCTCTTAATTGTGAAAGAGGTATTTAGGTTTGGTACTTCATATAATAAAAATTATAGCAGCCACACGAGCACTGTTTACAATCATCGTATTACTAGAATCATCAAACTCATATTCCTTCAACCTATCCCACTATGGTTGAAAAGGTTTGTGAGTTTCTGAAAGAAATGGATTTTATAATGTCAGTGAGCATCATTTTTAGTAGCTTGAGAATAATGGGGCTGAGTACTGTCTCTTAGCCTCTTCCTGAAAGCTCAATTTCACTCTAATGTTCATAGCTATTAAAATGTGCAATGGGAAACTTTTGATCTTTCCAGAAATGCAGAGAACTGTGTTTTACCAATAACGTGGTTTGTGTGCAGAGGTAATTGGATAAAAATAGTGTAAACACCTATAGGTCTTGGTGCTCATCCTTTGAAGGCTTTACTTGGGTGCTGTGCTCCTGATGCAATACCCTCACAGAATGCCAGGGTTTAACACGTGCATGTTAGTAAGAGCCCGAGCTTTCACAGGGCCTCCAGAGGCAGCAGGCATGCTGATGGGCAACACTGGGGAGATTTTGCTTATGCCTTTCGTTTCCCAATGTATGGACACTCCTTTAGTCTGCAGACTGCCAATCTTGATTTGTGTCTGCAACTGCTTAAAAAGCAAAACAGTCAACTAGCTGTGTACTGGAAGAATGGTCATGTTTGGTCAAAACTCCTGTAAAAGGTAGATGGCTCCTTGATAGTAAGAAACAATGAGGGATTGGTTTATGTTTTTACATGGGAACTCATGTCTTATTATGGGCAGGATGTTCCAGTGCCCTAGTTTTCAGGGACAGTTCTGGTTTGTACCCCTTGTCTCAACATTCTGGCCACCCCCTCTTCACTCTGAGAAATGCTCTCATTCGGATGGCAGACCACATTTTGAGATTTAAGGATTTCCCTTCAAGTCAGTCAGGGAAGGCGTATCTTAACTGTTGAAAGAAGGTTGGAGGTGCTTAAGCACTGGTCCCTTTTTCTAACCTCTCAACAATTACATTATAAAAAGTACTAAAACTTGGTCTTAGAAGGATAATTGCTATTCGAATTCAGCATGGGGTATATAACTAGCAGAATCAAAGCCTTTGGGATAAATGTATCCTTAATGTTTTCTGGTTTGATAAAGAGAGAAAAGGATAGTGTTCGGTCTTCGGTTTGTAAATATGGGCACGAAATAGTTATCTAACAATGTTTATGCTTGTCTCTTCCTTTTTTCAATCAGTGATAATATTCTGAAGGAGCCCGTGTGCCTAGGAGGATGCGAGCACATCTTCTGTAGGTGAGTAGTTTGTGCTTGATGTGCATTGATGTAGTCATGATGTCTGCATATTATTTTGAGTTAGTCTTTATACCTGTTTTCATTTACAAGAAAGAAATAAAACTCAGAGGATGACGTCCAGAGTTCCAAAGCTTAGTGTGTAGCTCTGCTAAGGTTTTGGAAAAGCAATAATACCTTTGACATAATTCAGATATGTCCTGTTAGACATTCAGAAAATTGGTTTTGGAAAAGCAATAATACCTTTGACATAATTCAGATATGTCCTCTTAGACATTCAGAAAATTAAAAAAAAAATTTCAATTTTGGAATTGAAAAATTCTAAAAAAAATTGAATGACTGAAGTAACCTTTCAAAAATTATTGAAGTCTAATTCTTAAATTTCTCACCTTGAGTGACATAAAACAGTAGACATTTATTATTGTAGATCAGGAGGACAGAAGGTCAGGTTCTGACATGTTGGTAGAGTTTGTTCCTTCTGAAAGCTACGAGGGAGAGTCTGTTCTTGCCTGGTTTCTTGTGGGCGGTTAGCGAGGCTTTCCATTGCTGTGACAGCATCTGATATAAACACTCGATGGGCATGTATTAAGTCACACGGGCAGGTAGATTTTGGTACTGTGACAGAATAGCTGACATAAGTTATCTGAGGAAAGTTTGTTGGCTTTGCTGAATTTGGTGCTTGAACACTTTGCGTCTTGGGGTTATTCTAACAAGCCAAGTGCAGGAAGTGTTCACCCTTCAAATGCCTTGAGAGGACACCATGGCGATAGGCACATGTGGAGGTAGATGCTCTGTCATGGTGAGTGGAGAAAGACTGGGGATTTGGCATTAGGCAGAACCTTCAAAGGCATAACTGTAGTGGCATTTCTAGCTAGGCCCCATCTCTTAAAGTTCTATCTACCTCCCCGGATAGCGATACTTAGTTGAAGACCAAGTGTTCAACAGTGAGGTGCTCAGGGACACCTGTGACATATGTCTCTAAAGCACCCATTTTAGATTCCCACCATGTGTAACAAGGAAGAGGATTTATTTTGAGTCACGGATTTAAAGGTCTCTAGTTCATAGTCCTTTATATTGAGACTGTGTTTGTGCACATCTTTATTTATCTCCTTACCCTCTTAGGAGCCATAGATTTGTTTGGGAAGAATTAAGAAGATTGTTATATTGAATAAAGTCTCATCATATTCTCAAAGCACACTGGTTTTACCATGCTATATTAAAACACCTGTTTTCCTTCTGTTCATACTCTTTAGTATTTGGAGTTCAGATTCTGGTGAATTTTCTTTTACTCTTTTTAAGTGTCTGTATAAGTGACTGTGTTGGATCAGGATGTCCGGTGTGTTACACCCCAGCCTGGATTCTAGACCTCAAGATAAACAGACAGTTGGACAGCATGATCCATCTTTATAGTAAGCTTCAACATTTGCTACATGACAATAAACTTTCAGGTGAGTAATATCTCTTTATTGTTTTGTTAAAGAGTGGACAAATTACAACTGCTAATAAGCACATGAAAGAATGGAAAAAGAATTCTGAATGATGTAGTTCAGATTTTAAGATTAGTAGGATTTTTTTTTTTAAGTCACTTTGAGAAATGAGATAATTAAGTCTAAACTTTATAGATGAGGTACCAAGGCCCAGAGAAGTTAAATACTCTTGCCTGCAGTCACATGTATAGTTAATATGAGAAGCAAGAGAAATAGAGCCAATTTCCTGATGTCAGTCTGGAGATTCTCAGGACTTCACAATGGCGTCTTTCTATAGTCGGGATAATATCTGTAGAGTGTAGGTGCTACAGTGATTTTAAATATAACAGTGCTTAAGTCACTTAAGTACACTGTTATAGGATGGAATACAAAATATTCTTGCAAGGATCACTTTCTAGACTGAATTAATTAGGTATACATTTTGAAAGAGCAAAAATCTAACACTTATTTTCTTTTTTATTTAAATGGGGGTTAATGTTTTTCAAATTGTTCTTTGACTCTGCATATTAACTACGTATCTTCCCATTGTGCTTTCTGCTGAGAACTAATTGGCTGTGAAAAGAAAGAAAAGTGTTTTGAATTTTCATAATTGGATGTTGGAGTTGTCTTTTCATTGACCAAATCATATCTAAAATGCTTGTGTTTATAGGAGAACCTTTCTGGCAGGATGCCATGAAAGACTGATAATGGTAATATAAAATTGTTGGCTTTGTGTTTTTAAGTCTTTTTGCTCTTTGAATTCTGATGCAACATTGTAACTGTCAACTACTAGTAAAGTTGATTGAATAAAATTGAAATTGAAGACAGCAAATGCTTTTAAGTATTACTGACACATTTGTATTTTTAAGAATGTTAAGTCATAGTTAACCCATGTTTACATTTAGTCTTCTGATCGTTAGGCTACATTTTACATGGTAACATATCTCAATAGTAATATTGTGCTTTCTGAGATACAGTTCTTTACATATATTTTATAAAGGACTTGCTTTAAAAAGTATTGTGGCCATAAGGCTCACGAATGCACTAATTTCACAACTGACTACTTGGTATTAGATAACTACTTGGGGGACACTTCTCTAGCCTTAGCCTCTTAGCCTCTTAGTTTCCTGTAATCCCTTGTTAATGGTTGAGGCTCATGAGCTTTTTTCTTTTTGTACTAGCATGTCTGTTGGTGTTAGTGGTTAGTGTCTTGTTTAGGCAGCTGTGATATATATAAATATAAGTGTGTGTATATATATATATATACACATACAGAAGTCTATTTGTATAATTTATATATATGTATAACAACTGTGTGTGTGCCTGTGTGCCTGTGTGTGTGTGTGTGTGTGTGTGTGTGTGTGTAACAAAGAAAAAGAGGCCATGAACTTGAGAGAAAGCAAGGTAGGAGGATAATTTCGGAGAGTAAACAATTATAAAAAAATGTATTGAGGGGGCTAGAGAGATGGGTCAGCAGTTAAGAGCACTCATTACTCTTGCAGAGAACATGAGTTCTGTTTCTTAGCACTCAGGCCAGACAGGTGGCACGTTCCACATCTCTATATCCAGAGGATCTGACTCCTGTTCTGTAAGCATCTGCAGTCACGTGCACATGTTCATATTAATAATATTAAATCCTAAGAGAAGAAAAAGGACTGCATTGAGGAGAAAATGTCATTAGTTCATCTGAATGCTTTTCTTCCTTAAGAACAGTGTCTGTAGTGTGTATTTGGATATTGAAAAGACTGTGTGTATGAGCTCATTGGCTTCTACCACACATACATGCTTTATGATGTGGTGATTCCCAGTCAGGGGTCCATGTGTTGCGGGCAGTGTCAGAGTTGGGAGTGGAGAAGCATCAATGAGTCACTTTAAGTACTTGTGCATGAACAATATGTCTCTGGAAGTGCTTTCTTTGGACTCTTACAGGTATGTCTGAGTGTTAAGATCATTGGCCAAACACTGAAATGTGGGGTTCTACTTTTGAGCCTGTCATAATATTTTACCTTGATTCTTCTCCAGTAATATAACTATGTAATATGTACTAAGTTACTGCAGATGGTGTAACAAACAGTGACAATCAAGGCAGTTGAAATAAAAGAAGCTGTCTCAGCTCTGGAGGCTTGAGGCTTAAGCTTCAGAAGTGTCCTCTCTGAGAGCTGTGGATTGTACTCTAACCTCATGTCCGCACGCAGCTTCATCTTGGAGGAGTCTGTCTAAGTTAGTCTTTAATTAAGATTTGGGGTACCAGATAGATATAGTTATGGCTTCAGCATACAGATTTGGGGAGTAAAGGAAATGAACAGTTTAATGCATAAACAGATAATTTAATGTTTTTAATGGTAAATGGGAGGAGGGTGAAGTAACTAGTGGCTCCCTAGGCTGAATCGTGCCTTGGGGTACAAAAAGGAATGACTAGAAATACTGTAATGAGTAAAGGGTATTTGAATCATAAGTATAGCATTTGTATTTTGCAGCCAGTGAAAAAAATGGAGTTTCAAACAAGGTTCGTGGTGGGACCTGAGCCCTTTTAGAACACATTCTTACTGTTGTGAACTTATTTTTGTGTGGTAGGTTAAGTTTGTTGAATTAGGTTGTGTAGAAATTGGTGTTGTGGGACAGGAGTTCAGGTCCTAGCACCCACGCTACAAGGCGGACATGCTGCACACTCCTGTGACTGCAGCTCCGAGAGAGCTTACAGAGGCCTCCTCTGACCTTTGTGCATGAGCATGCGTACACACACACACACACACACACACACACACACACACACACAAACTTGACAATGGGCCTTTGCTACCCTAATAGGAAATCACAGAAATGTTAAGTTATTGAACATGTCTACTATGAAACCTCTATTTTCCTGGTATAGTTATCTTTTTCTATTTTTTCTATTTATTTATTTATTTATTTATTTATTTATTTACCCATTTATTTATTTATTTATTTATTTATTTATTTATTATGTATACAGTGTGTGTTTGTATGTACACTTGGACGCCAGAAGAGGACACCAGATTTCATTATAGATGGTTGTGAGCCACCATATGGTTGCTGGGAATTGAACTCATGAGCTCTGGAAGAGCAGCCAGTGCTCTTAACCTCTGAGCCATCTCTCCAGCCCCTATCTTTTTCTATTTTAAACTGTATCACTAGCTGCTTTTTCTCTAAAAGTCTGAAAACAAGCCAGCTTTGAAGGATGTTTGGCTTTTCAGTTTTCATTTGTGTGTGTGTGTGTGTGTGTGTGTGTGTGTGTGTGTGTGTCTTTTTCTTGGGGTAGGTCCCGCTGTTCTTTACAGTTTATTTGGTGCATATAATGAGGGCCTGTGCTAGTTTATATAGTAAGTACCTGATTAAGTGACAGAAGGTGAAATGTTTTACAGGTAGATGGAACCAGAGATTGGGAACAAGTGAGGGTTGGTCTTCCTTGGTTAAGGACGTTAGTCTGAGTGGTTCCTGAAGCCTCACCTAAGTCCAAGTGATGCAACTGTTTCATGGTCATGTGCTAAACTAAGTGGAATGGCTTAACCGCGCTCACATTTTCTGTCTTTACACAAAAACTGAGAGTTCATCATCTGTCTTCCAAGTGAGCCTTGTTACTTGCATTTACTATAAACTATATAATTACTATAATTAGGGTGGGTAATTATTAACGTCAGCTCATGGACATGGTATATGGTATACTGGAGATAAAGCCTGATATATAGGAAAACATGCTAAAATGAGCTTCTAAACATATCCGTATATTTTTCTCGGTTCAGTGTTCTTCAAAGAGAAGAGGTTGTCATTTTTTTCTGATCACCGTTTATGGATAATTTTACTTTATTCTATATAACAATCTATTTTCTACTAATAGAGTTAAATTTTTTAAAGTTTCTGTTTCACCATGAACCCATCATATTAAATCAGCCCCCACAGGTGCTAGTCAAGTTTTGTGGAACGTGTTGGTGTTGATGACACTAAAATAAAGACCATTGATTATGCTTTCATAGCATCACAATTTGCATTTCTCACTTGTAGTTTTGGGGAAATGTTGGTTCTTCTGAAGTGATTACATAGTGTTTTATATATGTTGCGACTTTTTATAATATATGGAGAGGAGTATTTGGTAGCCATGTTGCTGTTGTTATTTTAAGTAGATCTAAATACATCTTCATTTACAGAATAATTACTCTTCAGTGAAGTTGTTAATGTTTCACAGATGGTATACAGAGGACCTTCCTTTGACTTTTTTTTTTTTTTTAATAAGGAACTAGCTAGTCACAATTCTCAACTTCTGTTGTATAACTTACAATAAAGAATAATTTGGAAAGTACAATGTACATCATTATAATCCTTTGATGTAGATTAATGATTGCAAAATAACATTTTCTAATTGCTTCTCTTTTCTATGCTTATTATTTTCTATGCTTAAGGAGAAAAACTTGGCTCAGCAGCTCCTAACACACGTGTCTGCTCCTTGAATTTCATAGTATATTCTGAAATACTTAAAATCAGAAAGTAAGATTTTGTAAAATGCCATCATTAAGAAATTTGCAATGCAGAGGCAGGACCAATGTTTTTCTTCATGAAATGAATATGATAATTTATCAAGCTTAGAAGCATTCACCCATAAAACAGTTGTAGCTGTTAATAATATGATTTATGTTCTAGCAACTGAGTTGTTTTGCTTTTCAGTTTTATCTTAGATATGCTGCATAAAATCCAGAATTTACAGTTATTGTTTGCAGTTATCCTTGCTTAGTTAGACCGAGTGAGGTGATTAAAATCTCTGAGCAAGTGTGTTAGTGCATGATAGTCACTAAAATGATTGTATGAATATAAATTACATAGTTGTGTGCTCTTTATTTGCTCTTTTATAAGTTAGAAAACATGCTGCTGAGGCAGAATTTTGTTATTTTTTTTTAGATTTGGGGTTTTTAGTTGATTGAATGTGTTATCACTGTTCACATATCTTAATTTCTGTTTAGCTGGCCTATTCAACTTTTTATTAGTATTATAAACATTGAGACATCAAGATTTGACTTGATTTTAGTTGAAAATGTCATCATCTGTGTTTAAAATAATAAATTAAAACCAAATACAACTTTTCACAGACTACTTGAGGATTAACCTTTAAATCTTTGTAATCCTGAGGCCTTCTTAAGAAGTAATCCCTGGTAACATTTCATTTTGACCTTTCCCTAGACTCAAGATTGTATTAGAAGTGGCTTGATTTTAAAATCTACTTATCAATGCAGAGAAAAGACCTTGTTGAATTTAGATGTCTAGTCTCTCTGTGAATGGATACCTCGTTTTGATGCCCAAGATTTGGTCTCAGTAACACTGTGTAGACCATTTATAGCTTAGCAAATCTATTTCAATGGCTTTGGAGAATCTGCCCTCACTTGGTAACTTTATTCTGCTTGTAGTCCGTCTTCCCTGTTTACTGTCTTCATTGTACTGGCTGTGCTCCCATGTCACCAGGAAGAAGTGGTGGCTTCTTTAGAGTGTAGTCTGAGTGCTGTCATTGTTAGGTAGGGTCGTGTGTGACATTCCTGCTGGGTTAAACACTATGTATTTATTAAGACAGTATTTTCCATTTCTTCATTTCTTCTTTCCTACCTTGGGTCTTTGTTTGTTTGTTGGTTTGTTTTTTAACCTGGTGGATGTGTTTATAAGATGGGAGGTGAAAAAATAGACTAAGGAAGCAATTCTAGGCATTTAAATATTAGTAGTCTAACAGTAGAGCAGTAAAAGTAACAGTCCTTAGGAGAACTAAAAGTTGGAATTCACCAGTAGCTCAAGATGGAGAAATTCATTTTCAACATGTTTCTTTTCTTTTTTTCTATCAGATCCAGAAGATGACACATCTAGGGCAAGTTTATCTGTTGATGCAGAAAGGAAGAAGAATTCAATAAAAATGTGGTTTAGTCCTCGAAGTAAGAGGGTTAGATATGTTGTCAGTAAAGCGTCAGTACAAACCCAGCCTCGAAAGGAAAAGAATGACAAAACCCAGGAAGCCTCAATGTATGAATTTGTTTCCACAAGTCCTGTTGAAGTTGTTTCTAAGAGGGCCAAAACGGCTTCTAAAACATCTGCAAAAAAGCAGCAGAAGAAATCTTTAACTGGGATCAACCAGGAGGGGAACTTAAGGACAGAAAAAAAAGATGATAGATTTGATTCTAAAGAGGAAGTGAAGGAACAGAGGGTTCCCTCCTATGGCCAAACACCAGTTGTGGAGAGGCCACAGGGAAATAGTGAAATAGACTTACTAGCAAGTGGCTCTGTTGTAGATTCTGAATGTTCTGGAAGCTTGACTGAAGTTTCTTTACCATTGGCTGAGCATATAGTGTCTCCAGACACAGAGAGCAAGACTGAAGAGACTCCTGAGAAGAAGGTCTGTGTAAAAGATCTCCGTTCAGGAGGGCCTGATAGAAACCGTAAAGGCTGCGGCAGATCTCCCAGTTCTACTTCTAAGAATTGTGGGAGCAACGTTCCGAACACCAGCAGACGTGTTAGAGATGTCGTTAAACCAACAGTGCTCGCCGAAAACGTACTGTTGGTGGACTGCTCTTCATTGCCTTCAGGCCGAATTCAAGTTGATGTCACATTTAGGAAAAACAGTAGTGTATCCGATGACTCTCTTTCACCAGGCACACCCCCACCTCTGCTGAATAATTCAATTCACAGACAAATGATGTCAAGCTCTTCCACAGGGAAGCTGTCACCCAGTGTTACAGCTGGGAAAAGAAATCACAGAGGAGAGACATTGCTTCACATTGCTTCTATTAAGGTAAGCAGCCTCCTCTGAACTAAATCTTAGAGTGATACCATATTCGTAGGTTGTTATTATCACAAATAGCTGAGATAATAAGAGTAAAGATTAACTTTGTCTCACAGTGTTTCATACCCAGTAAGTTCTGTTGCTTTGAACTTAACATGTTAGAAGTGTGTTGTGGAACAAAGCTGTTCACCTCATCGTTGAGAAGCAAGACAGGGGATGGGTGCTTGAAGAATTGAATGTAGAAGGTAGAGGTGAGAGGTTGTGTTAAGGGAACCATGCCAATAGTTCCACTCTAGGGATCATACACTCTTTGAACAACTCAAAATTTTAGGAGTTCCCCCCAGTTGTGTTGCATTTGGTTTCCATTAGGGCTGACTTAGAAAATTAATATTTTCAGTTATCCTTGTCATATGTATAATATATATATATATATATATATATATATATATATATATATATATATATGTACACATAAGGTATTGCAATGTTGTTAATGCTTTCTAGACACAGCTAGTTAATTATTATGGCCTAGTTATTTTTCTAGTAGGCTGATGTAGTTTCTATGTCTTGCCTTCTGGGAGTTTTCAGACCACAAGCCACATTCTTTTATATTTATGTATTTATTATTTAGTTACTTTTACAGTTGCCAAGCATTCTCAGTGTTGTGGAGAATGTTATTCCGACTGTAAGAAAATTTACTTTTACTAATGAGGATGTCTAGCGTCCAGGCCAGGCCTTAATAAACTCTTTCATAGAGGGGTTGCTAGAGAAAATGTTCTCAACTTATGCTATAGTCAGGTATTCCCCGAGAGCAGAAATAGCCATAGAAAACAAGTAAACCAATCAACCTTGACATGCAAACTCAGGTGGCTCACCCACAAACTGTAGATTATATTCTGAGTTCCAGGCATAGAAGAAAGCCACAGTAGAATAGATAGGAAAAACCAGTGGGGTGATAGTGCCCTGCTGACTTTTTCATTGATGTGTCCATAATTGCTTTAGGTAAGTTTTCTCAATTGACCATCTACTTGAAAAGTCATGCCCAAATTAAAGTTGCCTGTTTTGTTTTCTTGAGCCTAATTACCTGATACTGTTGTTATTGATTTACTCTGAATTCCTACACTTAAACATGAATTGATTTATATTGTTTTTTTAAACCACTAATTAACAAGCATGTTCTTTTAAAACTTTATTATGCGCCGAATGTGTACTTTCCTTTCCTGTTTGATTTTTGTTTGTTTTTACAATTTTGGGAAGCAAACACAAAGCCTGACACAAGCACTCTAGCAGGGAGCTGTGCTTTCAGCCTCCATGTTTGAACTGGATCTACATGGTTTAAGGGGAAAAAAAAATCATTGGTTTATCAACGTTTTCTTTTTAGAAGTAGTTTTCATTTCTCACTTTAATTTTCTCTTTTCTAGCAAGGATAAATTATCTAGATATAGGAGGAAGCCAGTTACTACAGCTCTGCGGACCTAAGTTATCGATGCGCCCACCTGCTTCAGAGAAGGCTCTGCGTGGGCCTTAAGGTTACAGCTACCATGAAGTAGAGCAGGGAGCAGAGAAACAGGAGTTCATTTTGCATAGCAAGTTCAGATTTGGTGACCTCTGTAAGGCAGCCAAAGCAAAGAACGGGAAGTAGTGGGTTTATGCAAGCTAGGGAGTCAGGCTTGCTCAGGCTGTGCTTGCTACGATCCCTACAGCACACAGGTGGATTTGCAGCGTCCAAGTGCATGGTACTTGTGATGGTTCAGCTGGGTTGTCAGCCTTCTTGGAGCTGAGTCCAATGGTTCACACCTGTAACCTTGGCATTCAGGAGGCCGAGGCAGAAGTATTACTGTGAATTCTAGGATAACTTGGATTATGTAGCTAGTTCAAAGCTATCCTGGGCACAAAGCAAACATTCCCCTAATGCCCCTGCTCCTGGTGCCAATTTCTGTCTTTATCTGCTCACTTGCTGTGAAGAGACACTACGAACAAGGCAATTCTTACGAAAGAAAGCATTTATTTGGGGGCTTGCTTACACTTTCAGAGGGTTTAGTCATGATGGGAAGCACATGAAGGAGAGATAGAGACAGACACACAGAGAGAATATGGCCATAGACAGACAGATACATACAGAGAATATGAGCTATGGGGGACATTTTTATTTAAATCACCACATATTTCACTCCCTGGTCCCCATAGGCTTGCAGCCATATCACAATTTAATCTAAATTCAAATCTCCCCATAGTCTTTCAGTCTCAACACTGTTTAAAAGTCCAGAGTCTTTTCCAAGACTCAGGGCAGTCTCTGAACTGTAATCCTCTGTAAAATCAATTTCAAAAATTAGATCACATGCTTTAAATATACAGTGGAACAAAATATGTATTATCATTTCAAGAGGGTGGAGAGGCGGCACCATGACGAAGTACTGGACCAAAGCAATACTAAAATCCAGCAGTCCAGATGCCACATTCTGGATCTCCGTGTCCAATGGAAAGGCGCTCTTCAGATCTCCTCCTCCTTTCAGCTATCTTGACTTCAGCACACCCGGTCTGCAGCACTCCTTGACAGATATATCCCTACACCTCCCAGATTTTGGGGCTCTCCAACACAATCCATGCTTTACCTTCATAGCGTCATGCAACGGCTAGCTATGATGGTTAAGTGAATTTTACTGCACTTAATTATTATGTCCTATTGTTTTTATGAAGTTTTTTTCTCTTTGTTTGTTTGTTTGGTGTTTAGAGTCAGTCTTCTAATAGGGAAAAAGCGTTTTGTTTGTATGCTTTCCAAAAAGTGACCTTTTGGAAAGTTACTTTATTTATGTTGCTGGAATATGCACATATTCACAGTATGTGAGACTGTATAAAGAGTCTCTCTCTCTCTCTTTTTAACTAAGTTGCTGTTACACAAATTCACTTGGGGACACAATTCTTTATTTTGGGCCTTTAAAGTGTTATTTGAAAATACCAGAAGCATTTAAAATTTCTTGCAAGCCTTTGTAAATACTTTCCTCAGATGATTTTTTTTTTTTTTTTTTTTTTGCAGGGCTTTAAGGAAATCTCAATTATTCTTTTAAGTTGTAAGGAATGAGAGAGTGCTTCTATTAAAAAAAAACCATAATTTTCTTAGAGAAGAAAGTAATTTAAAGCAACAAGAAGCAGAAGTTAATTTATTTCCCAGAAACTTTATATTGGTTCAAACTTACCCAGTTACTGTGGACCCTTCCTGATTATCATAATTTTATTTATGTGCATGACATTAAATTTACATGAAGTAGAAAGATGAAAATAAGACAAACTGTTAAGTATTAGGGAGGAGGAAGCGGCTTGGGTCTAAAAAGTGACCAGTTTGCTAATCAGCTTTATGTTTTAGGGGTAGACTATTGATGATACTCAGAAGTGACATGAAAGCAAAGCAGGGAGTCTGGAAAACAGTTTGCTCGTGTCTCTATCACCACCACTAGGTTCCTGTTGGACTTGGACGTGTGACTTCTGCCTCCTGCCTTTTGCTTGTGTTTCTAGTGTTTTCTTTGCTTCTTAGGTTTTTCTGTTTTGTTTGTTTGCTTGATTTTTGCTAATAAAGAATTAAAATGGAAGAATTTTTGAGAAGTGTGTGTGTGTGTGTGTGTGTGTGTGTGAACACTTGTGGATGCTTTCCATGTTGAAGGTAGGGTAGATGTATCGTTCTGGCAATTCATCTGTCTAGTGTTCAGGTGAATTTAAAAGGAATTCAAATTTGTGTTTTGGTAGAGTTTCCTGAATTCATTTGGAACTTGAGTATAGAACAGAAGTTACCAAATTGTGATAACTTGTACAGGAAGTATGGAATTTATACCTTAGGGATTTGAGACAAATATTTTAAAGTTCTAACTGGGCAGTTTTTTTTTTTTTTTTTCTTTATATAGTCAGTATACATAGTAGTGAGTTTCATAATGACATTTCCTTCAGTATCTGACATACTTCAGCTATCTCTCCATGTTCTAGTTTCTGCCTTGTTTCTGTGAACACCATGACCAAAAATAGCTTACTGGAGGAAAGGGTTTATTTCTACCTAACCTCTAGGTCTCTACCCATGCTTGAGGACAGGGCAGGAACTCAGACAGAAATCATGGATGAGTGCTGCTTACTGGCTCACTTGTTTTGTGGCTCATGCTGAACTAACTTTCTTGGACAGCCCAGGCCTATCTGCTTGATTGTTCCATCCCTGGTGAGCTGGGCCCTTCTATATCAATCATCAGTCAAGACGATTTCCCTCAGTCCAGACTGAGGCAATTCTTCAGCTGAAGTTGAAGTTCCCTCTTCCCAGCTGACTCAAGATTGTGTCAAGCTGACAATAAAAACTTACAGGACCTTCTTCCCTTTTCTCCTCTCCACCTCCCAGTAGTCCTCTTTATCATCCTAGGCAGTTTTGCTTCCACTTCCATGTCATATTCATATTTGGTTTTTTTATGTAGAGGAATTATAATCCAGCGACTTGGCTGCTCTTGCAAGGGATCACATCCAAAGATGCTTTAGGTCTGTGTGATCCAGCTGTAATGCCGTACTTTTAATCCCAGACAATGAAGGTAAAGTTGGTTTGTAGAAGGAAGCACCATGTTTGATGTCTAATTGAGGGTCAGAGAAAGAATCTGACAGAATGAGTGAGAGATGCATACACCCAGCTCTCCCAAGAATAGAGATTTGAGACAGTAAAGAGAGTGCAGAGAAGACAACACAGTAGAGTACAGTACAGGCAGTTCCGTGCAGTCAGTGCAGTTCAGTTCATGGAGGTCAGAGACACGTTTTCCAAGCAGAAGTCAAGACAGGCCAGATTGCATCCTCTTGGAGAGGAGTGTGAGCCAGAAGAGCTGGGTTGAACCAGCCAGCCAGAGTTCAGAAAGAATATGGGTGAGCTTATCCACAGTAAGCCTCAGAGATAACAATTACTCTTGGCTAATAAAAGATGCTTTTACATTTATATGTGTTTATAAAATCCATATAAATCTAGGCTCCACAAATGAGAGAAAATGTGATATTTGAGACTATTTTCTTCTTTAATATCATTATCTTCAGTTGCATCCATTTTCCTATATGTGGCATAATTTCATTCATCATATGGCTGAATAAAATTCCGTTGTTCATATGTACATTTTATTTACCCATTTCTGTGTGACAGATACATAGGTTGGTTCCATAACTTAGCTAATTATGAGTAGTGCCACTTCAAACATTAATGTGTCAAAATATCTCTGAAATGTATTGGCTTCAGTAAATACCGAGGAGTGTTAGAACTGTTACATGGCTGTCTTAGTTACTGTTTTATTGCTCTGAGGAGACACTATGACAAAAGCAATTTATAAAACAAAGCATTTAATTTGGGCCTTGTTTACGGTTTTAGAGATTCAGTCTATGACCATGGTCGTGGTGGCTGGGAGTGGCATGACAGCAGGCAGGCAGGCAGGCAGGTCACTGAAGTAGTAACTGAGAGCTTACATCTTAAAAGGTGGAGACAGAGAGAGGGGCGATGGGGAACTGGGTTTAACATGGGCCTTTAAACCTCAAAGCCCACCCCTGGTGGCACCTTGTCTAAAAGGTCACACCATCTAAACTCTCCCAAAATGTTTGTACTAGGGACCAAACATTCAGTTATGTGATCCTATAGGGACCTTCTCATTCAAACCACCACAATGGTTAAATTTTTTAATTTAGCTTTTTTTTTTTTAATCTCGTTTTACATTTATTTGTGTGAATAGGTGGGTGGCAAGTGTGTGGTGATTAGGGGACAACTTTCAGTCAGCTCTCTTCTTCTTTCGTGTTGTTTCCTGGTGTTAAACCCAAGTCAAGGCTTGGTGGCAGACAGACACCTTTAACCACTGAGTCATCTCACAGGCTTAGTTTCTTTCTTTCTTTCTTTTTTTTTTTTTTTTTTTTTGAGGACAATTAACTGATTCCCATCACTGGATAAGTTATGCTCCCAACAGCAGTATGTACAGGTTCCCCTCTCTTTGCATCCTTATCAGCATCTTTTCTTGTTTTCTAATTAGGGTGGAATCTAATTAGGGTAGAATCTCAGTGTTTTTATTTGAATTGAATACTGATGGCTAGTGTTTTTTTGTTATTTCTTTTATTGGTCATGTACTTCATTTTTTGAGAGTTCTCTATTAGTCCATTTATTGGGTTCTTTGATTTCTTTTTTTTTAAATTATCTGTTTATTTTTATTTTATATGTATAGGTTTTACCTGTATGGATGGCCAGAAGATGGTGTTGAATCTCTTGGAATAGGAGTTAGAATGGTTGTAAGCCACCATGTAGGTACTAGGAATTGGACCTGGATGTGTTGGAAAATGAGCCAGTGCTCTTAACTACTGAGCAGTCTATCACTCCAGGCTCAGATTGTTTGATTTTTTTTTTGAGTTCTTTATATATTGTAGATATTAATCCTCTGTCAGATGTTAATAAAGATTTTATTCCCTTGTATATGTTGTGTCTTCATTTGATTCTTTGCAGAGGTTCGTTAGTTTCATTTAATTCTATTTGTTAATTCCTGCCTTTATTCCCCGAGCACTGCAGTCTTTTTCAGAAACTTCTTACCTGCCCCTGTTTTATGAAGTGTTTTTCCTGTTTTTTCCTCTTTGAGGTTCTATGCCTTTGATCTATTTTGAATTGAATTTTGTACAGTGTGAGAGCTTGGGAATCTGGTTTAGTTCTCTTATGTGTGGACATCCATTTTTCCAAGCACTACTCACTGAAGGGCTGTCATTGTGTATTTTGGTGTCTTTCTCACAATTAAGGTGGCTGCAGCTGTGTGGTGGGTTCTTAACTTGGTTAGTCCACTGATTTTGTGTCAGCACTATGGTGTGTGTGTGCGTGTGTGTACTTGTTACTGTGCATGCATCTTTGCTTATTTACTTATTTCTTTATTTTTGGTGCTGGTACCATGCTCCTGTTACTGTGGTTCTGTATCTCCAGCATTGTTCTTTTTGCTCAGGATTGTTTGGCTTTCTAGAGTCTTTGCTAGTTCCAGATACATTTTAGAATTCTTTTTCTATTGCTTTTAAAGCAAGGTTTATTTGTATGCATCTATGGATGTGTGTGTCTGTGGGGGGGGTGCATTTGAGTGCAGGTGCTTGAGGAGACCAGAAGAGGCTGTAGGATCACCTAGAGCTGAAGCCGCAGGCAGTAGCTTCTTCCTGTTAGGTAGCAGCTTCCTGATGTGAGTGCTGGGAACCAAACTTGTGTTCTCTGCAAGATCAGTAGGCACTTTTAACAAATGAATTTCTCCAGCCTCTCTGTTTTCTTTTTCATTGGAATTTTGTGGAGATTGCATTGAGTCTTGGATTGCTTTTGGTTGTATAACCATTTCTAAAATACTCAGTATTTCAGTTGAAATGTATTTAGTGCTTTTAGTTTATTAACATTTAGTCATTTGGTTAATTTAGAACATTTTAATGTATGTTGCACATGGATTAAAAAAAGACTTTAAGCTACTGTCTGAGGATATTCAACACCTGAGAAGTAGGAAAGTAATATTTAGGGGCTGGAGAGACAGCTTATGGTTATGAGTGGTTGAGAGTACTGGCTGCCCTGGGTGTTGGGGCGCACACCTGTAATCCCAGCACTCTGGGAGGCAAAGGCAGGTGGGTCTCTTGAGTTCAAAGCCAGCCAGGAGGACTACATAGACTCTGTGTCATAGAGAGAGTCTAAAAAAAATTATACAAGTAGAACCAAGGCAATAGCCCAGGGACTTAAATAATTTCTACATTTTTAACCCAGTAGAGGTACAGATGAAAAGCAGATGGTCTGGATTATAGTGGATAGGACTGAGAGACTCTCATACACAGTTGCACAGTAGGATGCATATAATAATGGAATAATATCTATTATTAGTATAATAATAAATGGTGCTGTATATTTGCATCTCAGAAAGCTAGAAGATTCTGACTGGTTTCATGTTTCAGCTAAAAAGTAAACAGAAATTGTATTGGGGCTGGGTCTAAGAGATTGCCATCTTCCTCAAAAAGGATTTCAGAGACCAATTGAATACAACGTGTTTTACTTGCATGTAGGGTTTTATTTGCCCAGAATTTTCAAGTGGGCTAATACTCTGATTTTGCCTTTCTTTTTGCCATGAATTTAAGTCGTCTTTTCCCCTTTCGTTGTCCTAAAATAGCTGGCTTTGTTTTGTTTGCCATGACTGATAATTTTAAGATAGTTTTATTTCATCCCACTATAAGAATGCTATCTTTTTCCTAAAGCTTTAAGTTGCTTTTAAAATGGGTGATATCTAGATATTTAGAGATTTCTAAAATGGCTTTAGGGGTTGACCAGTACTTTGATTAAGTAGGTAATCAAGTGTGGCAGATCCATCTACCTACTTGGATGGGGAATGCATGTCTGTGTGTGTATATATGTATATAATGTCTTAGAATAATGAACAATGAGACTGCAGTCTTACGTAGTTTGGAGATTGTGTTTCTCGGAAAAGAAGTAGACAGGAGGGTTGGGATATCATAAAGTAACCTGCACAATGTTGGGAAAAAAGAGATTATGCAGGCCTAATTTTCAGCCCTAACTCCTTTGTCACCATTCAACTTTTGTCAAAGGCTAGCTTACTAACCAAGCCATTTTATATCTTCCTTCAATCCACTCACCTATATCAGGCTTTAGTTGGATAGAGATACATAAGACACAGAAGGCTCAGAATTGGAAGGAGGCTTAATTTTTATGTCATTTTAATAATTGAAATTATTTTAACTTGAAGGGAGAATGAATATTGTCTTCCGGTCCTTTACCTCATCTTCATCCACTTATTCTTGACATCTTGTTCATCTCATTTGAAAACAGGCTCTGATACTATTATAAAGTGACTACATTCTTGTGTGTGTGTGTGTGTGTGTGTGTGTGTGTGTGTGTGTGTGTGTGTGTGTGTGTTTGGAGACAGGGTTTCTCTTTGTAGCCTTGGCTGTCCTGGATTCACTTTGTAGACTAGGCTGGCCTTGAACTCATAGCAATCCGCCTGCCTCTGCCGCCCCCCTCCCCAAGTGCTGGGATTAAAAGTGTGGGCCACCAAGCCTGGCTAAGTGACTACATTCTTATTTTCTCTTTCTTCTTTCTGCCGTCCCTATGTCAGTGAGCCAGTGGTGAGAAGTTACTACGTGGATCTCTAGAGAAATATGGAAAACTTTTCAGCTAGTGAGAAGGATATCTGTAAAGAGTCGCCTGGGTTTTATGGAAGCTACATTTCCTACCGTTCAGTTAGTTGATAATGGGTAATGGTTTTAGTGTCAAAGCAGAGGATAAAAATTAAATGCTGATTTTGTGTGTTGTTTGATTGTTTCTCTCAATCCCCTTCCTGGCATTTTAAACAGCAACTGCTTCTACCATGAAGACACCTTTGGTGCAAATAAAGTGAATATAAACTAAATTAGTGATTCAGGGTAAATGGAGTAACTGTTGATAAAGCAGTAAGTACTTTTTGACAGTTTTAATGTTGGTTTTCTTGAGTAGCTTGTTGGCTATAAACAGCTTTGTTTTAATGTTCAGAAATTATTTTCATGTATGTTCAAAATGATGTTTTTGCAAATGAAATGAAGACTTGCATTTTAGGATAGTCTTTGGTGTCATTTTATATCTTGAACTGCATCTTCAATATGGATTGTTAGTAATATTCAAATATAGACAAGATGACTTGGCATCTCAGAATTTAGAGGCAGCTCATGTTTCTTGGCTCATGGGCAGTAGTCAGGCTGTAAGGCAAAAGATTTGTTTGACTCCAAGAAGACAGAGTCTTTAAAACAAAGCCTCAGTAGCCTCATTTCATTCATGGCGTATTTTAATGTCCTTTAATTTCTTTTTCGTTATTCTACCAGGGCGATATACCTTCTGTTGAATACCTCTTGCAACATGGAAGTGACCCAAACGTTAAAGACCATGCTGGATGGACACCGTTGGTAGTTTCCTTTTGTGTATTTTTGCAGCGTTGTGGATTTCTTTAAAATTTTTTTTTTATTTTTTTTTTTGTGCTTATGGTTCTAGTTTATGGTTTTGTGGTTGTTCATATATCATGCTTTGCCACCTACACTCTCTTTTAGTCTGAAGAATTTATGTTTTGACCAAGTATGAAAAGAAAGTTATTTTTCATCTGGCTTTTCAGTTGTGACAGGAAAGTAATTGGTTACCTTTTGAGTCCTTTCAGATAGAGGAGTCCAGTTTCGCTGCATTGTTGGAAGCTAGCTCATGTGTGGAGGTAACTGCTGCAGTGGACACGAGGCTGCATTTTGCAGATTGCATGCCCCTGGAACCACATAGATTTTGGTTTCCTGGAACAGAGTGGTCAGAAGGATGGGATGTTATGACCAGGGAGGACTTGGATCTTGCCTCAAGCTCTGTCCATTTGCAAATAGAGGCAGTAGCAATAGAAGGCTTTGTCTTATATTTTTAAAAAGTCTGTTCATTATTGCTAGTATTGTTGCAATGTGAAGGATACTCTATGAAAAGAAAGGAAAACACTTGGAAACAATTTCCACATGTGTTAATGAGGATAATAAGCATTGGGCTAGAATGCAGCCCAAAAATGTCCACAAAGGGGACCTCTATTATGTAGACTAGAATTTCAGCACAGAAGTGAGACTCATTAGGCCAGATGCAAAAACGACCTAAAGGTATAATATATAAGTATGTAATATTTGAATGTTAAAATAAATATGTAGCATATATGTAATGACTTCTTGTCAAGGTTTAATCTGGATTCAGTTCATTGCGCTCCATAGGCTAGCTAACACTGTGGAGGAAGGTTAGCTGTTTCACTCAGTCCTGTTGCTTCTGTTGTCCCTGACAACAGATACCCAGTAGTGTCCGTCAGTTAAGAGAACATGTCTTATAAATCTTCCTAGGATGTCACTCTGCTGGGTAGTTATCTGTAAATGTTGGTGTACAGTTTGGTGTTTGGCACTGAATTCTGTTCAGCCTTGGAGAGCTCCAGATCTGTGTGTGATCTGGTTGTTAAACATTAGTGTTTTTTTTTTTTTTTCTAATGTAAAATTATTGTAGAAAAATTTAGGAGCTGTAGTTACTCTAAGGCACAGTTTTAAAAAGAAAAACATATGATCCACGGCTTGTCCTTTCCCATGGATTTTTCATCATTGTGTATTTTACCATGAAAATGATGATAAGTGGCATTGACTCTGTCAACAGCCAGGCAGAAGTTATATAAGTTTTCTGACTTGAGGGTCCATTTAATTTATCTTAAAGATTACGTATTAATATACTGCTTTCTTCCATCCTCTTCCCACTTCCCTCCTTTAAAACCTACTTTTGATTAGCATGAAGCCTGCAGTCATGGGCACCTGAAGATAGTGGAATTGCTGCTCCAGCATAATGCTTTGGTGAACACCACTGGCTATCAGAATGACTCACCGCTCCACGATGCGGCCAAGAATGGCCACCTGGATATAGTCAAGGTTCTACTGGCTCATGGCGCCTCCAGGGATGCTGTGTAAGTGTTATCTACAATTCTCTAAATGGATTTGTGTTCCTGAAGAAAGGTATGTACTGAAGCAGTAACTTCCCAAGTTGGCATTTTGGTCTTTTGTCTTCCACAGCTAAAGTTCGGTGTGACCATCAGGTTGAGTGTTAGAATCTGTGCTTCTCTTCCCCAGAACTTCCACATTTGAAGGAGATTTGTTCTCTTCAGAAACAATTTCAAATCCATTTAGAAACTTTGGTTTCATAGACAAACTTAGTGGTTATATTCTGTAGGTTGAGTCAGACTCAATGAAGATTAGATATTTAATTTTTTATATTTAATAAAAATTAGATATTTAATTTTTTGTGGTACTCAATACTTCAAACTCATTTTAAGTATTTTGTTAGTCCTTTCTGCGTATTATCCAACAGAAATAAAAAGTGTGTAAGAATCCATATATCGGGCTAGTGCAGTTGAATTATCTCCCAGATTTTTCACATTATTCAAATGAGGCTCCAAGCAAATTGTTTTGCAGTGTCAGGGCACAGAGGAGCATTAGCGAATGCTGGTGGCTGCATCTTAAAATTGCTATTGTCAAGAGGATCGCAACTAAATGCCTTATGCAGATTTTATATCTTTAATCTGTAACTTGGCTCCTGTCTCCCTATATGTTATTTTACTCTTTTCAGTTAATTAGTTAGTTGAAATGAAAATGCAAGAATTGCTTCTCTGTGCCCTCATTGCTTTTGTAGGCTTCAAGAGAGCACAACAAAAAAGCTTTACCCTCGGTAGAGAGAAATGCAAGAACCACAGCTTGGAGATCCTCTGTCTTGTAACTTTGCATAGATAGCCGCTTAATAGAATTGAGTAACAAATGACTAGTGAAGAATATAACATGCCCTGGTGCTTTTAGTGTCAGTAAGCTTGTCAGCCCTTCTTAACTTCCCATCATGAGTTGTAAGGCAGTTGGGTACACGCACATGTGTGTGCGTGTTTTTTTCTGTCTCTCTGTGTGTATTTGTATACAGGAATCTCATAGAGGTAATATATAACTATGTGAAGAGAAGACCTTACAGATATGACCTTCCTGTGAGTGTAGTAAGCAATTTGATAAAGCAACTGGTTGCTTGGGTCAGGTGAAACTGAGTAGTTTCCAACCCAGGGTTCTTAAATCAGCCGTGACTACTTTAATGAATGGAGCACTGGTCATGTTAGGGAACCCAGCTTTTATTTGTGACTCCATTATTGACTTTATAGCCGCAGGCAGGTTAATTTCTGTGCTTTGGTGTCCTCACCTATAAAACATGGTGCTGCCTGCTGCTTTTCTATTTCTTCAGAGCACAGTGAGGATTAATGAGCCAAAACACAGAGCCTGTCTTGTGGTTTGTACACCATGATTCTTCACTGCACTGTGAGGACTCATTAATACACAAGGAGTGGGCGTGAGGCAGGGGATGGGTCTGCCTTCACAGGTACTTCCTCAGAGGTCAGGTCCAGTTTGTAGTAAGTGGGGACTGGACCTAGCAAAGTGATACCTTATTGCATTAAAGGATGTTTGTATCACTGTCTGGTATTCAGGAGCCTGTAGCCATCTATATCTCTTAGAACACTTGGAAATCATTACTCAGAATCTTTAAAGATGCTTAATTTTTACTAATTAAATAGCCACATATATCTAGTGACTCCTGTGTGGGTCAAGTGGTTGGTACAGATAGAACAATTGGGGAGGAGGATTTTTTTTTCCCAAAAGAAAAGTTAGATTGGTGTTGGATAATAGGGGAGATGAAAGTATAAATATAATATAAATATAATACTCAGATATGGTATGATTTCTGTTACTAACATTCCTTCTTTTATAGACTCTTGGTTAAGGGAAAACACTCCCTTGTGTGATGGGGGGGTAGTGTTGTGTGTAGAGGGGGTTGGGTGTGAGTTGTATATTAGCTGTTCACCCAATTATCGGTGTTCTGTTAGTTTCCTTTTCAAAGAGCTTTTCTCTAATTCATCCTGCATACTGGATAATTATATATAACAACAGTTGAATTAAACTTTGTAGTCATGTTAAACACTACAAATCAGGTATTTACTTTCTCACAATGATTTTGAGATAAAGTTCAGCCTGAGAAATGGGTTTTTGAGGCCCTAAATGGCTTGGTGCTGCTGGTTTGTCCAGTCCCTTTTCTTTCAGCATTAAAGGCATGTGCCACCACTGTCTAGCTCCCTTTCTTAATTTTTATGTCCTTAAAACATAAGGCCATTCTACCTCCTGGCCTTTACATGCTTTTACTTTGTTGCGAATATTCATTTATGAGATCTAGTTGCTTAGCCTTTGATTATCATTTTAGATTTCATTTCATTTCCATTGTCTTTGCTTATTTCAGATGTCTGTATATGGTACCTTTTTTCCCCAATAAATTTTAGGTTATAGTATACTTTCTTGTCTTCTCATTAGGTTGTTCACTTTATGGAACAGGCAGGGATCATGTCAGCTCTCCCAGTCTCTATCAAATACCTAACATAGTCTGTACAGGCGTGTTATGTTTAGAGAGAGTCACTGAGAATTTAATGAGTAGAGAAATCCTTTTTTATCTTTCAATAAAAAGTTGAATGAGATGAAAACTTTGTCAAGTTTTTAAAATATCCTGTTAGGATTTTGATTACAAATGAGTAGAAACACCCAATGCAGTGAGTTGGCAGAGTTGATTTTTTTTTTTAACTTGGCATTTTCCCCATTTCTTTAAGCATTCTGCTATGTGTCTCTTATGAAGTTTTTCATCTGTTTTGATGTGTACATGTACAGATGTACCTAAGTCCTGAGGCTGTTTTAGGTTTTCGATTTGTTGGATGCCCTCATGAATTAGATGCTTTGTAATAGATATAATTTGCTTGCTTTTTCTCTTCCTCCCTCACTCCTTCCTTCTGTCCCTCCCTCTTTCCCTCTCCCCTGTGTGTATGTTCATTCTTCTGGTCATCCTTTGTTATTTCCCTTCCTTAATGTCCCAGGGTTTATCCTGGGCCCATGGCTATATGAGATAAACTTGATTTCATATAACTGTAAAATATCTTTTGTTACTTTTTTGAAGCAAAGTTTTGGTTATTGCCTAGACTAGTCTGTTGAACTCCCGGGCTCAAATGATCTCATTTATCCTTAGAAACTGGGGCGAGTCAACAACTCAGCAATACAATTAGTTGTTGAGTATTTTTGGAAAGTCAGATGTAGAAGAAGAAAGAACAACATGTTCAGTTGCAAGGCAAGTGGGACTATAGGTGTTTTATTGAATATGGATGGAAAGAAATCTTGAAATGATCTAAGACAAGTCATGATAGTGCAAATGCATAACATTGATAGTCCTTACTATCCTCAGTGAAATCTTATCCATCCTGTTTTTTCTCATAGAATCTAGGCTCTTCAGCTGAAATGTGAAAGTTGGAAAGTTTGTGTAAAAGGTCACACAACTGAACCTAGAACCAGAACTTGAATTCGGACAGTGTTCCTCTGTAACCTGGCTTTTAAGTGTCATGTACTACCATGCCTTCCCTCCTACTCATGTCATTTTTATAGAACTGTTCAAGATCTTGTAGGAGAAGCGTTCACCCTTTAACATTATTCCTTTGTTCTTTTGTAACCAGTCCATAGCTCTTCATTTCCTGTGGTAGAGGTGTGTTCTGCCCTCCCCACAGCTTTCCTTCATCCGTTTTCTCTCTCCTTTCTTCCTAGATTGTGACATAATGCCCTCACCTCCTTCTCTCTGCTTGGAGTAAGTAATCTTATTCTGCCTCTGTATGCCTTTCTAGCTCTGGAAAGTTTCATGAGACTTAAAAGTTCCCCCAGTGAGATTCTCTCATTGAGTTCTGTCAAGATGGTGGTAACTACCTTGTTGTCATTGGTTCCACAGTGCCTAAAAGAGAAGGAAAAATCACCCTATTGAATAAATTAATATTTTTCAAAGTGATTACATAGCAATGGTTACACATTCTCAGTATGTGTATGTACTTACTTTCTGTGTAAACTACATAAATGATTTTTTATTTTGTAATATGTAAATCATATAGACACACGTACTGTTTCAGTAGTATGGATTTTTCATTTTTTTTTTTTAAACTAGTGATTAATTAGCAAAACCTCGTAACTTAGGAACACTCCGATCTTCTGTGAAGGTAAAATTCTTAACTTTGTCTTTGAAAGTTTTAGATGAAATGTATTTTCCAAATTGTGGTTTAAATCAGAGAGGGAACCAGGCATGCTCTCACGCCTTTAATCTTAATACTCAGGAAACAGAGGCAGGCCAAGCTCTTAGCAATTTAAGGCCTTAGTCTCTAAAAAAGCGAAAGTCAGACAAACAAAAGTACAGGAAACTGGCCAATAAAATGGCTAACGGCATTGGGTAGAGCCATTTCTCTCCAGGCTGATCGATGTGAGATCTAAACCAGGTATATGAAGGAAAAACTCTACTGCCGCCAGTATCCTCTGGCCCCCACACACCCACACACACTTCAGAAGGTGAAATCATAGGACAAGCAGTAGGCACAGGCATACACTAGAGGAATTAAGTCATAAAGCCTGCTAATATACTGCGCTATACATCAGTAGAGAACATTAATAAAAAGATAGGGTTTTGGTCAATGATCATATAACATGCTTCAGTAACCAGGAAAACAGCATTTTTAGAAGAATTCCTAATGCATGAATATTATCTATATGGAATCCTTTGGTGTCCACTGAATTTTAGGAGATTTTCTTTGATATAAGGCATTAAGGAAATGGTCAGAAATACATGTGGAAGTTGTTACTGTGTGGTGAAGAGCTACACATGATTTCATAAACCTGTATTCTGAAATACCTTGTTGGTGTTACACTGATCCAGGCATAGGTGCCTTTACATTTCACAGCTGTGGTATTCCCTTCCCTCATTGCCTTATATCTGACAATTGTATCAGCTTCCTCTGTTGTATTACCCATCACATATGCATGTACAGCGAGAAGATTTTCTCTCCCCAGTAGCAGAAGTCTGTCTTTCATCTGGTGCATT